TTGAGTTTAAATCAACCCTTCGCCGAAAACTAAAGTCAACTTTATCCAATAATTAAATGTCATTTTTTATAATGGTACATTTATTACTGATACGATTCCATAAACCCCCACAGAAAAATCACACTTGTTGAAATCTGGCGATCGCGGTGGTCAGCGTTGCGAGCAATTATTTCCGTGCGATAACATCGATTTCGAAACTGTAGGTTCAAAAATTAACGAACGTTCATACATAAATACGGAGACGCGTTATCGTGCATGTACTGTATACAGGGTGATTCACGGACGATGGCGTATTAGACGTTTAAGGAGAACGCGATGCACGATCTATCTCCAAATTTGTACAACGAAGTCACCGGATATGCTCTATCGGCCTAAAATATTTTCAACAGTGCTAGGTTGCCGCTTATACCGAAACGTACATACAACTTTGCTATTTTAAATGAGACACCCTATATATTATTGCACGGTTGGATTGGCGATATAGATCTGATTATTTCTGCATAACGATTCCTATATCGATCTAAAGCGGTTTCCGAAATATTGAATAAAATGCATTATGTTTAGTCAAAACGTAGCCCCAACTAATCTTGTTTTACAACGCGATTTCGATCCCTGTAAATTTAAAATTTTGGTACTGGGTTCGGAAAACCCTATGCTTGAGTCCGGCGTACAGCAGTTTGTTTCAAATTATACAGGATGTCTTGAAAATACTAGCCTTTCGGATAGAGATAAAAACTGTTCCAATTACATTTTTTCAAATAGAACACCCACAGTTTAGACTTAATTATTTACAAAATGGAGAGCAACCATTCAGTTCAATTTCAATTCAGACTCATAAACAAATTCAAACTTAATTATGGCACCAAACTGAAAGCTGAACCGAACTTACTAAAACCTGTAACTTCTGATCAAGACAGCATTGTAAATGTTTTAGCGTACTTCTGTGCATATCCTCAAGCTTCTATTCGAAGTGCTGCAGATGACTTGGGCTTAGCCTATAGTGCCATTCAAAGGATTCTGATCAAGCATGCAATCCGTACAAGTTCACAAAAATGAGATTTTCTTTAAGAACTTTATGAAGAATTGCAAAATCTTCAATTATTATGACATTTCATGGCTATTTTGATAAATACGTCGAAATAATCGAATTTTTGCAAAAATGTCCATTTATTTCGGAAATTTTACACTTCAGCTATAGAAACATGATATATCGTTTCACAGGGAATTTCACGGTCTTCCCGTATTTCAACTAATATGCAGGGTGTTCTATTTGAAAAAATAGATTAAATTTATAATATTTTATAATATAATAAAATAATAGATAAATTTTGTTTCTAGCCGAAAGATCAGTATTTTCAAGACATCCTGTATAATTTGGAACAAATTGCTGTACGCCGTACTCAAGCATAGGGTTTTCCTAACCCAGTACCACAATTTTGAAATCTTCAAGAAGCTCTGGAAGAGTGTTTTGTAGGAAAAGCAAATAAATTGCACCGTTCAAACGATTATGTAAAATAACTGGTACAACCAAATAAAATAAAATTCAATAAAAATGTTAACGATACAAAGACAACAACGTAAACTTAATTTAATTCTGTAAAGTTAGGTTATAAGAATCCTTTTAATATTGAAAGCAGTAAACTAGACAGGCATCCCAATTACTATCATTTCGTTAAATAAATAAAGCAGTATTAAAATAAGGATTAACCTTATGACTGCATGACAGTGTCTATAATTTCCAATAAACTCTCTAATACCTACAATTTGCATGTTGCATCATTTTCGTCAAAATTTAAAATTAGGGAATGGGCCAACGCAAACAATAACCGTGTACATTTTTCATATTATCACAATTTCGTTCTGTGATCAATAATTTATTAAGAGTAAATAAAAATATATATTTAGTGGATGTGTGAAAGGCTTTCCCGGAACTGAATGAAACATCTGCAGATGAAAAGAGAATTATTTGGTCTCAATATTTTCTCTCAGAGAAAAGCACTAATGTGATTTTTTATAAACGCCAGTTTGACCCCCTTTTGAACCAGTTGACTTGGTTTTACTGTGGATAGTGTAAAATGCTCTCGAGCACAGCCTACTTCTTAAGAAAAAAGCTGCATAGGAATTTCTTCTGCGCGTCAGCTGGTGGACGTCGCAGATTCTGGGTCGATTTACTGTAGACCCTAGACATTTGAGTTTGATTGACATTTTTTCGCCTTGGTTCATATCTGATGAAAGTTTTCCAAAAATCGTTGAAAAAATCGTCAAGAGCAGAATTTGATTTTTATATATTTGGCAGCACTGCAATGCGGGAAAATGTGAGCAAAACCTACTTAATGGACCCAAATTAGGCGATCATAATTGCGTTATTATACAAATAACTAACTGCATGGGACTTCACAAAATACTGTAGAGAGTAATTCAAACCCTCTACGGGAAGTAAGTGCTGGATTACCCAACGTCGTAGTGCTTAATCCTTAATTCGTAAAATTTTACCTTTTTGAAGGACCGGTTACCCAGTTCCTTAATTCTTAATTTTTACGAATGTCATGTGTCGTTGTGATATAACCTAAAATATTGTTAATATTTTGTTTTATTGGACTGTTTGCCTTTCTAATTTAGATTTATTGCAATGTTCTTGAATAATCAACAAATTATTGCACTCGGTCTGAGTAGAGTATTTTTTACTCTACTTAGTGCAGGTTTGAAGCTTAACAGGGGTAGTAGGTTGATTGGCGTTTTGGTGATCGCCGCATGAATCGGAAAACAGGCACAGAAGGTCTTTTTGCCACCTTAATGAAGGGTATGGTAAATAGTGAGTGGGATGGAGCATTTTTTTAAATACACAAGAATGACGAAGTCAGTTTCTTGGTTTACATGGATTGCTTGCTCCGTATTTCGCAAAAGATATCACAAAATTGCATTTGGAATCTGAGCACCGATTTTTTGTCCCATAAGTGAACTTGCTCTTCCACTAAGTCCAACAGTTCATGTTCCAACATATTTCCATAATTTTCTTCATTAATTTCAATTATTAAGCTGAACTCTCTGACGGAAAGCTCTGACGAACAATCCTAATCTTGAAAACATCCGGCTTGTGTTTAAATCAAGGAATCAAATAACGGTTTTTATCTGTCAAAGTGGCGTCAAATTCTTCTTGTATTATGTCATTAAGCCGCTTGGGTTTAATACAAGGGGCTACCTACTACCCCTGTTAAGCTTCAAACCTGCACTGAGTAGAGTAAAAAATACTCCACTCAGACCGAGTGCAATCATTTGTTGATTATTCAGGAACATTGCAATAAATTTAAATTAGAAAAGTAAACAGTCCAATAAAACAAAATATAAACAATATTTTAGGTTATTTCACAACGGCACATGAGATTCGTAAAAATTAAGAATTAAGAAACTGGGTAACCGGTCTATTTTACTAGTGCAAAAACAAACTAAGCAGGAAAATCTAAAATTACTTATGTACAACCACAACTTGAGATTCTCTTTTTAACATTTTTCAAAAATACTTTACAATTGAATTAGGTAACGCTAAATTTCAAGAAGTAGTTACCGACTTATTAAATAAAAAACTTACTGAATGATTCAGTCATACAGCCACTAGAAACGTAACCGTAAATCATGTATTGTTATCGATACATTATTTAATTTGATTAAGAATTACATAAGGTAAATGTAAACCCAAAGTAACTTTGTAAATTATATGCTTTCCAAACATTTTATATTGGCAAGACATTTGACAACACCAGTATCTACGTGTCTTAAATGCGAAGAAGGACAGCTACCCTCACTTCAGTCGCGTCATTTCTTTCGTCCAGATCCAGAAGGCTTTGTGTATTTTAGCGCATGGGATCCAGTTGATTTGTTCCAAATCTTGTCTGAAAATTAGTAGGTACCTACATACTTACCACGGAAATATTGTTTAAGTTTTTCTCGTGACATTTTTTTCGAATGGTAAGAATTGGGATAAATTTACATTAACTATATTTAAATTTTGATGTGTAAAAAAAAACGTTTCAGTACTTTTTTGAAAATGGTCCAAATTAGGTATCTACACTGTAGCCATGAAATGAACCAATTATGAAAATATTGGTCCATTTTAGAGATTAGAGTGAGAATCTCCAAATCAAAGAGTTGCGTTCATTGTGCTCCTATGGAAAAATAGTTCTAATGAATATAAGTTAGTAAGTTAGATGAAGTTGTTGCATCCAGTTTTGGACCATGATTCATAATTGGAGGATTTGATGGTCCATTATTGGACCGAGTTGGAAGGCCAAATGTAGCTAGAAAATGCGTCAGTAGTTCAACATCGTCTTCAAAATGAAGCAGATGAGGAAGCAAAAGATGAAGGAACAGAAAGGGAACCGATTTAGAATATGACTAAATCGGTAACGCAGGCCTCCTGACAAGATTTAGACCCCGCAATAAGCAAGAATACAAAGAAATAAGTCTTTCGAAAATTCTGTCCAGTTGCCCTGCATAAGTTCCGCTACCGGAGGTCCATCCACAAATAAATGCAATGAGAACATACAATTGCTATTTAAGAGAGTTCTCTTTTGAACTGAAAAACGAATAAAACACCATCAGTTGTCACATCTCACAGAAACTCGATTTTTTAAGAAAGGAAACTTTTAGAAGTAGTTAAAAATCAGAAAAATTTAGAAGAGGTTAACAATCGCGAATTATTTATTGGAAAAATGTAGAAGTAGTTGAAAATCTCGAATCAACAAGCGAAAAATTTTAGGAATCGTTAAATATCTCGAATTAGCTTTCGGAAAATTTTAGAATGGTTAAAAATCTTGAATTAGCTATAGGAAAAATGTAGAAATAGTTCAAAATCTCGATTTAACTAATGGAAAAATTTAGCAATGATAAAAATTTCGATTTAGCTATTGAAATATTTAGGAATGGTTAAGCGCTCTGAAACAAAAATGCGTGTTTGGCAATCCTGAACGAAGTTATGCCCTAGTTAAGTTCCTTAATCAGAGAAATCCCTTTTTAACAAAGATTTATTACAGATCGTCAGAGAACAGTACTTAATAATAGACTAAATATGCTTAATTATATCACCACCGCAAATAAGCAATAATTTGCTGAGATCTGACTGATTATGGTTTTTGAAGAACAGAACCAGTACTTAATTCTTATAGACGAAAAAGTGATAAACACGATAAAGTGACAATGTTTATTGGATGGCTCGAGGATGTCGCGTCAGTTCTGTGCTGGTGCAAACCCCTTTTTCGGTTTTATAAGACGGTTCCAAAAATAACCGGTTAAATCGACTACCTGTAACTGCGGTTGCTTTAAATACCGCCGTCCATCCCTAGTAGGGAACTTGCGCTTCCTGGGTAATTATCCGGGACACCGTTGACCCGGAAAGTGTCAGCTGTTGCGCCGCAATGCTCCAAGTACTCCTGAAAGGCTCTGCTGCAATTAACTCCTTTTCTTGCTTTTTCTTGACAAATGCTTGTTGTTCTTGACAAAATCTGCACCTGTTACTAAGTGTCTGAAAATGACAAAAAATATTAGCCTACCGCCTTAAATTTTCATCTAAAGTGTAGATGAGTTCTTTTTTAATGTCAAAATTTTTCATAATTTGAAGTAAAGATCGCAATTTTTCTTTTCAAATGAATGAATATTCTAATAGGCTACTTATCAATTATGGGAGCCAGTTCCGAATAACACTTAATAATAAAGTTTAAATTCAATTTTCAACTGTTAGTATTTTCTGGTGGAAAAAAATTAAATATTTGGCTCATACTCTACTGCAGTGGGAGCCCCTGGAACTCCTTCAAAGGAACGTCGCCGATTTTGGATCACCTTGTAGATTTAAAGTCCTGAATAAGCTCTTTAACTGAAATTATACAGATGAAAATATTGTTTTGTTAATACAGAGCCATCATTAATTAGAAATTAACGGAAGTTTTTTGTTTCAGCACTGTTGACACGAGTGATGTTTTTGTTGTTTTGTCAACTAAGGCCAGCGTGATTAATGACACGCTAGGGCTGGTCTGCACCAAAATGTAGCATTGCTCTTCACATGCGATGGGAGCCAACATGGGCAAAAACACCTCCTTATTGGATGCTTTACCCAGCGGACAAGGTAAATATTATTGTTATTATTTTTATTTCCAATTGAGTTCAACGACAGTAGCGCGTGAAATAGGGAGCAGGAGGGTCCCCCCTTTTTTGCCTCAACTTGTAACGTTACTAAATATGTGAATATGATTAAAAATATCTTTCTGATCTCTAAATTAAGGCAAAGAACACTTACAAACTTTCATAACTCCCCAAGCAAACCTGTCGCTAAGATGCATAATAATTGTGTTTTTCGCAAAAGTTTGAGCATCTTTTTCAACGTCGCCAATGAATTGAGGTTATCTAGCGCGTCGATTCAGAATGCGAATTATTTGTCTCAACACAATGCGGTGTTGCCACGTATTTTTACGTTTTTTTCCTTTTGGTTAATTGTGATTTAGTTTGTTTGTGTTAGCCAGGGGCGGATCCAGCTTTCGAGTCAGGGGGGGGGTCAAGTAGTAGAAATTCAGTCTTTTGTCGTCTATGAAATTCGAGAAATTCTCGTTAGTCGTTAAAAACCCAGCACAAGGGGGAGGTCATGACCCCCATGACCCCCACCCTGGATCCGCCCTTGGTGTTAGCATGGTTGGTGATTTTTTAAAGGAAACTGAAAAATATACAGAAAGTAAAAATTTATTACCTAAAAAGGCCTAAGTAATTTATACCCACCCAACTTTAGTGAATCCACATCCTAGATATCTGAGAAAACAATTTTTATTAACTTTTTCGCTGGAACTGCTGAATTTGAAGTATTCTTTAAACTAGAACAAGAAAAAAACTAAAAATTCGGAGGGACCCAACCGGCACGATTACGATGTGATACTGTGTTCAAATTCTCGGAAATAAAGGCCCAAACCAGCGCTACTACTCAAAGTGTGCTCCGCCGAGCCCCGGTGCTTCGCAAAGCCTACGGTAGGGCTCCGCCGACAATAAAATTGATACATGTATTAAAGAGGCATCTATAAGAATAAAGTTGCCTAAGATAAAAATAAACTACCGAAAAAACAGGCCTACTTATAGATTTTACGGGTACCTAATAATAAAATCACGTAGCTCGTTCGTTAGAAAAAAAAATCGCGAAATATTATTAATATGAAAATTGGTAGGCACCATAATCGGTTGCTGCAAGTCTAAGGCCGAATTCAAGAACGCCACTCATACGCTACTCATCTCAAATCCAACTCTCACTCATCTGCCACTCACATTAGGGTGAGATGAGTGGTCCCTAACTAAAGCCAACTTTCGGTATTTAAAAACGACACTAATGAGTCACTCACTTGAGTGACAACTGGTTCAAAGAAAACAGTTTTAGTAGGGTTATGTTCTCATAAGTGAATAACTTCATTCCGGTTCCATAACCTCAGTTCAGCTTTTATTATCACTTGTTTTGTTATGAGTGTTTGAATAAATATGTATTATAAACGTGATGTTTTTACGTTTATAATACATGTTTATTAATTATGTATAACAACATGAGTGCTAAGCGCAGTTTCATGCCGAGTTCTGAGAAACAATTTCAGAATGGCAGAATGTTCGTATATCTATTGCCAAAGAAATTCTAAAACAGGAGGGAGTGAAAGCAAAACGACTAGAGATAAATAAGCAAATTTAGAAAAAATTGGGGGTTAATACAATATGAAATCAATTTGAATCCGTTGATCTGTTAAAATTTCGTGAATGAAAGCAGCGCTGATTGCCATATTGGCGCTTCGGACTGCGGAAACCTTTCAGTTTCCTCCATAGTTTTACTTTCATCGATTTTCTGGCTGGTGTCATTGGCTATATTAAGAACCTCAGCTGTAGCAGCAACAATTCTGGTGGTATGTCGTAATGATACTTTCAAGCACTTTTCTAAACGTTTAAAACGACCTTTCCATACACCAAAAGCGCCTTGAATAACATTCCTTGTTAAAATATATGCGTTATTATATCGCTGCTCGGCTCCTCTTTTTGGGTTTTTCGATGTTTCTGAAGTATACATATGCCTATTCTGGGCATAAGCACTATCTCCATGGAACTGCTATAAAAAATTCTGCTATCACGATCAGAACCTGGCTAATGGAATGAATGGTTTTTACAAAAATTGAATCATACAAATCAAAGTATCAAAATGAATAATATCAAAGGAATTGCACAAAGTGATTATTGCAGAGCCTTTTGTTTGAGCTTATTAACTGACGAATGTATACATGCATTTTTCAACCTCTGATTAAGCAGATGCATCTATATGCATCTAAATATATTTACATTTTTCTGTAAAAGTGGTTAATTTTATCAGTGTCAAACAAGAGAGTTACTAGGGGTATCAAGAGAACCTGTTATTTATTCGAGACAGAGAAGAGATTAGGGTACGTAGTTTAGGTAGTAAGGATCGATACTGAGAAAGTATCGGTTACTACTCAAATGAGTAGTAACCAAATCATCTTGCAATACTACTCACATGAGTATTCTCAAAGTATCGATACCATTACCGACTCACAACTTTATTGACTTATTGGCAATTCGCTAGTTCAACTACCGATGGGGGCGCTGCGAAACGTAAACATTACTCGCTATTATTAAGTGCTAAAATCATATACAGGGTTGCTCATTAGTGCGTCAAAGTGCGATATCTCAGTAAATATGAACTTTACAAGAAAATACGTCCTACGAAAGTTTTTTATGTTTAAAAGGTCCACATTTTAAAATTACTTTCCAATATACGGGGTGTATCATAAACGTGTGGTAGTTGCCAACTTTGGTTTTTTAAATGGAACCGCCCCTTTTTTCATTCATTTTCAGATTTGTCGTCAAAATTTAAGTTAAGTTTGTGTCAAACGTTTTACCTGAAAAATTTACGATTTCCGAGTTATTCGTAAAAATGTGAAAGTTTTGACAGCTACTGGGTTCCACAGAAATCGATGCTGTACACTACCCGCTTCGAATTTTGGAAAACAGTTTTCAGCGATTCTAACAGAACATCATGATCTACG